TCATGGTTAAACTTTAGTGACATTTGAACTATATGCATAAATTGTATGGAAAGTATCAACAAACAATACATACAAGTGAGTACCTCAAAATAAGATCAGACTTATCGATTTCATCTCCACATCCACTGCCCTTCAATATACCACCATTACCAACAATGCTACATCGTCTGTAAATACTTCTCTCGATGGGAGATTTATTCTACAGTACAAATTTTAACAAGATAATTAAGGTTCCAGATACAGTGCGTGCTACGCTTTACAATGCATAAATCACCTTGTAGTGATTATATATATTTATACTTTGTGAAGACCACATGAAAACTGAGACATAGATACATACATACCAGATACATCTGCTGAGATATGAAGCTTGCATTGGAAGTTCTATAAAACTGTGTATTTTCTGGCATAGCACCATTCAACTTACTTCTGTAAGAAATAGAGAAAGAAGTATGCATTTGCAAATAATAAGTGACAATAACAAAAGTATGAATAGAGTTTACTTCTAAGTGGATTACTTTACCTTAAGTCATACAGATGTGTTTTGTTCGTTGTCCAAATATTTGCAGCATTTACAATGTCTCTCATTTGCTCACGAACGGTAATATTTGCTGCAAACATGGACTGGTTTTCACTAATAAAAAGATGTTAAAATTTTTTTTAGAATTTCAACATTCATTGTAGAATCGGTATCGTAGACTTGGTTACAAATTTTTTCTGCAATTTTGTGAAAGCAATTGTGAGTAACCATCAAGATACCAAAGGACAATATGCTTCCTGTCAACTATCTACTTTGGGTGTTGTGTGACATAATTCACAACTACAATAACGATTAGTACACACCTCATATTGTGAATACCTAAGTAATCACGTGTACATTGCTTGAAGGCTCTTTTTGTATCGGCGTCTTCTCTTTCAAGGTCACTTATTTTTGCAATGCTATGCATGCTTGTCCTATACGGGAAAAGGTTTAGTTAAAAGTATTAACAGCTAAATTAATGCGTTTCTTTGTTTATAAGACAAATAACGTTGTCAACAATTACAACAAAATGTTTACCCAAATTACTTTTTGCAATACTATCACCGCCTGCCATAGAAGATCGTTTACTTTGCTAATCGTCTTTATTCCCCATGTAAACAAAAAACGCCTGCTAAGGACCGTGATCTCTCTGTACAACGTCAATACATTAAATATCGAATTACATTGGAAACAAAACAACACTTGGACACACCATTCAAATACCTGTCCTGTCTGCGCTTCATTAATGTTCTATTATCAACATTTATTGTTTATTCATTTGTTTCATTTATATCCCCATTGTGTTAATTTGAGTGGTATACATATTAAATAAATAAGCATATTTGTATATATTATTCAAATATGTTTCATTTATATCTCTATTGTGTTAATTTGAGTGGTATTCATATTAAATAAACAGACAGATATGTATAGTATTGCTATATAGTCTAGCTATTGAGAACAATATTATATTGCGCCTGTTCCAAACATGTTTTTAATTACACAATCCTTTATTGTATTTTATTACTTTATTGTATGCCATTTCTCAGCTCCTCATTGATATAATGGGACTTGGTTACCCCCACGCCGATCTTTGTTTTATCATTTAACGTTGTACTGATAGATTCCTGGTTCCCGAATTTAATTCAATGTGATAGGCCATTGTATAACCCATGTCAGTTATCAATTGACTGACTAATTTCATATTTAGGTTGTTCTCTCTTTTCAGATAAATGAGGCCACTGGGACATTGACATCACAAGTGGGACAAATTGCTATGTTGGGTGCATGCAATAATGAAACCTAGAATGTGTGTCCTACACTAAATCCCTAATTATGGCATACTTTTATGAAAGCAAACTACTATATGAAGATTTATTTTATTTTATATTTATTTATATTTATTTATTTTATATTTTACTACAAATGTTTAAGGTAATAATTATGCCTCAAAATTGAATTTACACCTGGCTTTACAATTCCAATTTATATTTTCAAGTGAATTTTTGATCTTTCTTATAAAGTCCAGCAAATATTTTTATAAGGACTAAGAACTTACCGAAAATAAGTAAAAACCAGTAAGTCGTATGGCTCATATGTCATTGTGCAAATTTTAATTCGGTAAAGAAAGCTTAAACATCATAGAGATGGTAATCGTGTCGTAGAATGTGAGTAGAATGATATTTGAAGGCATGATTAAATTGTATTATCTGTGCGGTGGTACCACTTTCAATAAAACATTCTATGATGTTAGTAAACAAGTTTTTAATTGCTGGTTTCGGAGAATCCGTGATAGGAAGGCTGATTAATTGAGAGCAGTTATATGATTCCTAAGACAGTAATAACTAGCTGCAAGTATTATATCACTCGTAGTAGTACTGTTCATGTCGTTAATTAAAGTGCATGACCATAGCCGACACCTCGTGAAGACATTCCTCTAAACTGTAAAGAAATCCACAGTAAGTAGTATCGATCTTTTGGTTACTAATTCATGTCGACGTGATGTACGTGACGTCACAGCAAACACGCATCATAACATGTTCTGAACGAGGTAATGCCATTTTGCATTACATCATGTATGTTATTTAAATTCATATGGTTCTAAACAAATACAAAATTCTTTGTGATATCTATTCTATTAGCAAGTAGTAAATCACTGGCAAACAATGTCAATCATTGATATTTCAGAACATTTATTTAGGCATCAGCAGTACCACGATTAATGATTTAATTGGATACTGTATCCTCAGGGTAATCGTTATCTGTTATTGATGTTTAGTTTACACAGTAGCATTGAAGCATAGACAAACAAAAAGGATACGTGCCTGTAAGCAGAACGTACATGCGTTTGATTAAACAAAAGAACTTGCATATGTGCTGAGAAATACATTTTTGTTGAAAGTATTCAGTACAATTTTAAACAGGCATTTCATTTATTGTAGCAAAAACCAGGGTCTTTTTTGAGGGGCGGAGCTACGTCACAGAACGTTCTAGGTTGTTTGGAAATGCGTAGAAGTAGTCTTGTTACCCTGTTCATGAGTCTCAACTGTCTTAAAGTGCAATTGTCTAAGATGTTAATCTGTTTTCACCGGTGTTATTATTATTGCTATTATTTTGACAGGATTGAGCGTGAAATTAAGCATTGTAAACAACAAATTAGGTAGATGTAATCTGAGCAAAATGAAAAGTCAGACTTACCTCTTGGTCAGGTATACACATCGTATCATGTCGTTATACTGTTTGGCAGTATTCCAACTTCCGCTTAACAACGCACCGACGAAACAATAGATGTCAAACTGTGATTACGTACTCTGTCGTTGTCAAATTTTCAAAATCGTGCGTGCAGACTGTTTAAAATATTTGTAGGTCCAGATGAGGGGGGTTGTTCAAGGATTCCCAATCTATACAGCACACATAATAGTATGTTTTAGCCATGTACATATTTTTTTTCAGAACACCCCTCATAGACAGCCTCCTTCTCACAAGTAAATAAATATTGATACGCTGTGGCCAGCAATTCACAAAGGAATTGTGTAAGATTCGTCGTATATACAGTATGAGCACAGACTTCTGTATACCAAGTATACCAAGTCATGTGGCTTTCTTTGCTGACACACAAACGGAAGGTGATTTAAATGTACATACCGATGTCTGTCTGTGTTTGTGTGTCTGTCTATGTGTCAGAATGTCGACAGTCTTCAGGCCTAATTTGTTATTATACTAAATCAGCAGGCATTTCATTGAACACAAGACAGCTTCTAAACACCCCACCGGTACTGAACAGAAAATGATTGGCAACTCATGCATGTACCGGTCAAAAACCATGTAAGGCTGCGTGAGGGCGTTTACAAGCATTAACAGCCCTCATGCCTCCGACATTCACTAAAATAACTGCGGCATTTCTTGCAAACGCCTTCAGTATTCTAACAAATTAGGCCCGAGGGCGGTCGACAGTATATTTATGTATATGTGCCCGTAGACAAGGCTTCTAAGCAAGTTTGTCATTCCTCCATCGGTTCTGATTTGTAACTATCCCCGAAACCACGATCCTGACATTTTAGAAGTTCTTGTATATGTCATTCGTTGTTGTTCATTTCTATGATGTTATTTTTAGATTTCAATTTTTATTCATTAAAACATTCATTCCTCGTGTCCACATTATGACGTCATTGTGAAAAAAAGCAGCTGTCTTACATACGTGTCACCTGTGTTTAGATATCATGAAGTTACAATGTGTATAGCTCACACGGAAAAGGATTATAATTTGAAATATATAAAACATATTTGTAATTGTCAATTTACAACATACAGAAAACTGTTAAAAGAAACGACGTACACAGATGTATGTTTAATTACTATTTTTGGTATAAAAATATTAACCTCTGTATTTTATATAGTTTAACATAATTACGATTTTAATCTGAATAAAGTGTTGGTTTATTTTTACATGGAGCGTAGACCATGGTGCTTGTTGAAAGGTGGATGAATTTAATGTAAAATATCATCTTAATCATCTTTATTTATGTATACACATAGATAAGGTACATACCTGTACCATATAAAGTGTATGAAATAATAACTTCACCTCCCGAATTAGGCTGCTAACGGTATATAGTTGTAGTTGCGTTGTGAAATAGTTCTACACTTTGCTATTCAATTCAAAGTTGCTAAATTGAATTTGTGGGTACTTAAATTACTCTGGGTTTTACAAGACGATTTACTGGATCGTGAGACCTGTTTTGACTGACTGGCTAATGTTACGACGAGTAACATTACCGTGAGTAGCTTATAGCTTTAGCGACCATTGTCCACAAGTGGCGTCACCGAGAGGCCCTCTTACTGTGTACGTTGGCAACAGTATCGTGAATACTTTCTATACAATGTGTACATCGTCAATGACATTGACATTACTGTGTGTGCCTTTATTGCAAACGCATGTTCGTGACTTTATTCAATGTAATGTATCCTTCAACATTGAGCTCTACAGTACGTGAGTAAAATACAAACCGTCCATATTCGCCAACAAGTTGTTCGTATTAATCGCCGAAGTCGATTCAGGGTCCGGAAGCTATGCTCGAATATTTGATTGTGTTCTGTGTAATCGAGAGCGGACGCCGGTATTGCTACGCAACGTGGCGTGACATTCCCTCCTTAGCAACGCTGAAGGACAACCCTACTTTCAGGACTGGTGGCGTAAGATTACACACGTGTGGCATTGCATGTATCAGTGAACTATTGTCAATGATTGATATACACATTCCAATGCTATTCAAGAGAATTCATATTTATTATTGACTGTTTAATTGTACCCTATGGCAAACTATAAAGTGTATGTTGAGGTTGCCCCATACTATCAAGCTGTACAGGAATCCACTTCCACTGAATAAATGCTAGTGATATATCATATTAATTCATGTACAATTATTGTGGTGTATGGAAAGCCACAGATATCTTAAGTCGTAAAATATTATGTTGTGTAGTGCATTTACCATGTTATGTGGTGCATTTACCATGTTGTGTAGTGCATTTACCATGTTATGTAGTGCATTTACCATGTTGTGTAGTGCATTTATAATGTTATGTAGTGCATTTACCATGTTGTGTAGTGCATTTACCATGTTATGTGGTGCATTTACCATGTTGTGTAGTGCATTTACCTTGTTATGTAGTGCATTTGCAATGTTATGTAGTGCATTTATCATATTATGTGGTGCATTTACCATGTTATATAGTGCATTTACCATGTTGTGTAGTGCATTTACAATGTTATGTGGTGCATTTACCATGTTGTGTAGTGCATTTACCTTGTTATGTAGTGCATTTGCAATGTTATGTAGTGCATTTACCATATTATGTGGTGCATTTACCATGTTGTGTAGTGCATTTACAATGTTATGTGGTGCATTTACAATGTTGTGTAGTGCATTTACTATGTTGTGTAGTGCATTTACCATGTTGTGTAGTGCATCTACCATGTTGTGTAGTGCATTTACC